TGTCTGATCAGAACACTCAGGACATATCAAGGTTCAGAAGAAAATTACTCTGGTTCTGGACCAAAGCTTGATACTTGGGCAGCCTCGGTTTTAAGCGAACAACCGAGACATCTATAGATGCTGGCTTTATTGCATTTATGTCATCGATGTGTTAAACAGCAACTGTGCAGAAGACCACCAGGAGATTAATATGCTGCCTTTTTTTTTTTTTTTTTTTTTTTTTGTATTAAAATACAGGAGGCGTAGCTACATGTGTCGATAGCGTATGTATTTACAAGTTGCTTATCTATGGCACCGTATGGGAAATCTACAAAAGAAACGGTGCTTCAAAAGACCTGGAACCATGAGAGAGAGGTTAGATTTGATAAAATTTTCTTTGGTTGGGTTCTTCGTTATCACAATGTTTTTACCTTTATCAACAAAATAAAAGCTCTCCTGAGATGGCACTACCGTAGAAGCCACATGCCAGCCCACACTATGGGAAAGCTAGTTTCAGGCCACGGCATCAGGCACATTATTCTGACCAGAGCACACTAGGAGGCATTTTAAGTAAATACAGATTTTTAAAAATCTTATTCTGGTATATCATCTACTTTCATGCATATAATGAGTAATGACTTTATTTATAAGTAAACAGATATGAAAACACTATGTCCCAGAATTAATCCTTTAAGAAACAGTCAAGAAAAAAGTTGCATGGGTACCTGTAGAAGAGTGCCGGGTGAATATTCATCATCTTCAAGGACAAGTTTAGAGCCATACCAAAAGGCTAATGCATAACACAGGAAGATTACAAACCACATGTAACCAGTGAATAATCCCATTATTATTCCTTTTCTGATTCCCCAGTGTTGAGCATACACTAAATTCTTATCATATCTGTAAAAAGACATAAAAATAAAACTGAATGAAATGAACTTGACAGCAAAATTAATACGAACAAACAGCAAGAAAATGAAATCAAAGTTCTCTTTCCCAATCCAACCATTTTTCAAATCATGCTAACATACCTAATTTGCAGCGGGCACAATAAATTGAGGTCTTTGTGGGAACTATGGTACTGTGTAAATACTATTCTTACTTATCTTGAAAGTACACAAGATTTTCAGATGTGCAGCAAAGTTCAACAATAAGTTCCTACAAAGGAGAATGGCTTGAAGATAGTATTACTTATGTTCTGCTTCACCAATTGCATTATGAACAGATTTTGCATAAGAATGTTACTTGAAAACTAGATTTCTGCAACATAAATGCATATAATTCTCAAAACTAACAGATGGCTGTTGTTTCAAAACTCTAAGACTAATTGCTACGGTCACGTTTCTACAGGAGAAAGAATGCAGAGATTCTTGACAATTTGTCTGAACAAACCTCTCAACTTCTTTCTTCTCGCCACCAAAAGCAGCTACTGTTCTGATGGATGAGAGCACTTCATCAGCCACAGCCCCAGCTTTTGCATAAGCCTTCAGTTCTCGGCCTGTCAGTTTTGCCACAGCCTGTAAAACCACAGGAAATTACACCTGACCATGATAAGCAGCTCTGACCATCACACAGTGCTGCATGAGGTCACCTCCCCTGTTCCTGCCACCGGACTCACTGCTCATTCAAAAGTTTGTCTTCTAGTGTTAGGACACACATTTCTGTAGCATGCATTTTGTCTAACAATTATCCCAACAGCTCTGCTTCAAATACCTAGAAAGAGCAGCAGACAACAAATGCTGTCCCTCCCTTCCTCTCTCTCTCTCTTGCTAGCTGCATTTTAGCAGATCATAGAATGATCATGCGTGTGCCCATCATGGCAGGGGGGGTAGGATCAGCAGGAAGAGCAGCAGTTTAGCCAGCGTAGCAGAGCTAGCTTCAGGAAGAACAGGTAATGGTACTAATGGGGGAGAAAGAAAATACATGTAGCCCATCACTATGCTTTGTCTCTTGGGCACATCACCTTAGAGCACACTGGATGCTGAAAGCTTACTTGGGCTCAAAAAGTGCTCACATTGAATGTTATATGTAAACATAACATATTAGTTCAAGAATTAAATGTTCCTGGAAATTGTAATGTCATTATTTGCTTTTGTTCTTCAAATACTCTACCCTAAGCATCTGTTAGTCACTTTCTGAGATGAAACCATGCTAAACTGATGTTAAGTCAGTTTTCTTCGTGATAAAAAACTAAAACTTGAGCTAAGGTTCACAAAGAAGAAAGACTTAAGTGTGGGTACGTGAAAGACATGGGGACAGAGAAAGAACTGAAATGGGGAAAATGACAAAGCATAAAGGGAATGAGGTCAGAAATAAATTGCAAATGAAGGAAAGATGCATTCTGGAGTTGATTTTTTTCCCTGCCAGAACATTGCTCTTCCACTTTATACTGAGTCATCATTCACATCATCTTCTTTGCAGCCAGCGGACAGCAAAAGGAGAGCAGGAAGAAACAAAATTTGTCACAGTTAGGCCAGAATGCTGATAGCAAAATGACAGCAACTGTTCCTATGTGGAAGAACAGAGAGAGGTAGACAGGGGGCTGAAGCCAACTGAAGAGCATGAGAATGTGCAGGAGGAGCAGGAACTGCTGAGGAAGGGAAGGGAGATGATAAGGCATAGGATCCTGTGATTCCCCTCTTCCACCTGGCTCCTCTGCACAGTCACAGGGAGGTGCAGGGTGTGGGCGGAGAAGCAGAACCAGAATGACCGGGAAAAGACACAGTAGTTGCCAGGAGTAGGGATATCTTGAGGTGAGTCTGAGCAGCTGTTTTGAACTGTTTTAGAGCTCCAGGACTGGGTCATCTCTAAAACCTTAGGTGGAAAAACTAAGTCTCAAGTCTAATAACCATTTAAATCCAGCATGGAATAATAGACAGATGCTGCAGGCCTGTTCTAATCCCAGCAACCCCACTATCCCTGCACATGCCCCCACAGAAACAATGCTTATGTTCCTGTCTTAGATGCTGGATATTAGATTCTGGGAATGAGAATAAGTGAAGTAGGAGTGAAGCTCCTCCTTAGCACACACACATCACAAAATCATAGAACTGATCAGTTCTGCTATGACCAGAATCTGACTCTCTTGACTTTAAAAGGTACCAGCGTTCGCCCTAGCTCTATGGCATGACCCTCCCTGTTCAATGTACCTGTCTTAGTTTCATCTGGGATGTAATTTTTTTCCTCAGAGTGTCTGGTATGATGCTATGTTTTTGTTCTAGGAGAAAAACAACACACTGGTGTTTGTAGCTGCTGCTAAGCAGTGTTGTACAGAACCAAGGCCATTCTCAGCAAAGGGCCCAAGGAGCTGGGAGAGCACAGAATTAGGACAACAGACTCAAACTGGCCAAAGGGATATTCCATACCATATGACATCAAGTGGAAGGAGTTTCGAATGGTGTGGGAATTCATCTCTCTTCCGCTGCTCAGAGGGTGAGGCGGGCCTCAGTCAGGGGGTGGTGAGCACTGCTTGTGCATCACCTGTTATTTACACTCACATACATATATACAGTCATAATTATTATCCTTTTCCTTTTGTCTATCTTAGTAAATAGTTCAACCCCAACCCACAAGTTCTTCTTTCTTTTTTTTCCCTGATTCTCTCCTCCATCCCACTGGGAAGCAAGAGAGTGAGCAAACAACTGTGTGGTACTTAACCACCTGCAGGCTTAAAACACAACAGCACCTCATGAGAGTGAACCTCATACTATGCACTTACCAAGCCATAGACAGCTGCTCCAATCCCAATGAGGGGACTGGCTGCAATGATAACCAGAGTCAATTTCCACCCACTGACAAATCCCAGTAGGAATCCAAACACAAAGGTGGTTAAGCGCTGGATGAAGACTGCTACTTGATCAGCAATAGCCTCATTAATTTTGTTAACATCACTGTGAGAGTAGGGGAAAAAAAAATAGAAAGGTCAATGAGAGTGTATCTGCATATCTTTCCTTTGTATTGCCACATTTTGCTTTCCCTTGCAGAGGGCTTTTCCAAAAATGCTCAGTTACAGTAAGAAAACCTGGAACCTTTACAATGGCAACCGGCATTTATTTTACACATGAATACTACAGAGAAAATTCTGCCTTTTCCCAGGAAAAGCCATCCTGCCAGCAGTCTTGCTCACCGCTGTGCCCCAGCTGATGCAAAGGGAGCAGAGACATCTCAGCTGGATGCAGCCATCTGATAGTATAACTGATATGGCATATCCCCATTGTACAGCACTAACTGCAGCCTTGCTGAGGAAGTAGGAGGAAGGCTTTAACTCTCTTCATCGTTCAACCTTACACCAGGCAGTTTGTTCTCTGAATATGACGGAGTGGAAAAATAGAGGGATACAGTATCGCTGGAAGTATTGGGAAAACATGACAGCTGTGTCACATGTGGGAGAGCAGTGCAATGGTTAACATAATTCGAACCCCATGCAGCTGCAGAGTTCATTTGGTCTCATTTATATATTGCCATTACAGAAAAAACATCTCAAAACAAAATAGTCATTACACTTCTGCTGCTCTTGGCTACTCTCACCCCTGAGAACAGGCGAACCGGGAGCTCTTGGAACAAAAAGGAGCAAGTGGCACTGATGTTTAAGGTGCAGATTTATTAGTACAGTCCTCTACTTGAAATGTGAGAGTGCTGAGTTCAATAACATGCTTACATTTTCTTAAGAACTTTTTTTTTGCATTCAGGAAGCTTTTAGAAGGCTCAAGAAAGTGTTATCCTAACAATCAGTGAACCGGGTGTTATTTATTCAAGAAATACGTGTCTGTTTCACCTTTTTAGTCATATTCCTCACAGCCAATTGCATTTTGTATTTCCTCTTCATTGAAAAACAAGAAAAACAACACAGAAAGTCATAGTTACTACTTGTCAGTAAAGACAAAAAAATTCCCTTCAACTACAGAAAATCTTTTGCAGCTGTCCCTATTATTATGCAGGCAAGACAGAGCACAGGGAGCCACCTAGAGTCAGCATATTCATCTTGCAGCTTCTTTAAGTAAACAGGAACTACAAAGCAAAGAAGCAAGCCTTAAAGTCAGCTTTTCTCAGAGCTAAACGTTTACCCAGACGTTTTCTCCATCTACCCTGGATCCTGGATTTCTAAAGGTAAGTGCTTGTAACTGCTGCTTTAGCAGAAGATTAAGCAAGTCTCACTCTTTTCTTTCAAAAGCCAAGAGCATAGTTTGCGTGCAATTTTCCTTTCCATTAAGCGAGAAGGTTGAAACCCTTAACTCGAACCTCAGAGGAATACGTGCTGGCAGCCTAACGGGAGACTCAGAAAGGGCTGGGTACAGGAAAAGACAAAGGAGGAGGTAGCAAAAATAAAGAAACAAACAAACAAAAAAGAAATAAAATAAAGAAACATAATTGTAGCATAGCACTTACTTCCAACGCGTGAGAGACAATTAGCCTCGTCCCTGCTCTCTATTTTGTACTAGAAGATGTTTGTTAGATGCCTAAATTGGCACTCTGGTGTCTGGAAGTGCACAAATGTTCTATGTAGTATATTTTTTCCAGATTACTTACTCAGAAATTCTTGTGTTCAGTTCTCCTACAGACGTGCAGTCAAACCAGCCTATATCCATTCTCATAACGTTCCTGAAATAAGCCTTCCTGATTTTCTGTATCTGACGAGCTGCAGCCAAAACCCAAAAGCAGATCTAGGAAGAGTATAATGCAGTTAACAAATTGCAGTGAAAAGTCTTTCTAGTTTCTACAAACAGGAAAAAGCAATTTGGCTAACATGGAAAAAAAAGAAAAAAAAAAGTAATTTGACTATCAATAAGCTCAGCATCAGGTAAAATACATACTAGCTACACATACAGACATTGGGCTGTTTTATGATCTCGATCTTTAAATAATCCAACATTTCTTAAGGCCTCTGGATGAAACTTTTATCTCGGTTTTGACAGAACTGACAAGGTCAGTTAGTCTGCACTGTTACATAAATGTCATAGGAAAACAGTTGTCCATTTGCTGTAAATAATAGAGGTACGGCAGCCATTCTACCTCAGCAAAGCCCTCAGCTTTTAGAAAAAAGAACGACAAGTGCTTCTCGTGATTATAAAAAGATTCAAAAGCAGTGAATTCAAGCAGATTGTACTGGAATTGTCCAAGCTTGTAGCTTATCTCAGTCATATGGTTTGAATCAGTACACAGAACATATTCAGTGTGATTCTATTCCAACACCAATTTTACTCTATCACTCTGTAATATCTCCCTTACAGAAACACAAAGCTCAAGTTAGCCTACTTGGGAAACTGCATGCCCTTTAGCTATTTGCAGGAGAGTATGCGGCTTCCATAGTAACCACATTCAAGCAAATATTTCTTCTGGTGTGAAAGCAGCAGCACGCAGTCATCTCACTGGGTTAAATGCATCTGTGTACTAATGTTTGCATGAACAAATCCTAAGTCTCAGATAATCAGATCTAAAATATTTCATCCAATAGGTTCAGAACTGGGCTTGTCTATCCTGCTAAAATACGATATTGACTAAGCAGTTAAAGGGAATACAGTTATGACAAACTTAATTATTTAGTGATTTAAACCTTGAAATCAAAATACCAAAATACTGACTTGGAAATATCCTAACAGAAGTACGGCACAACCAATTCCTCCATAGTAACCTGCAAAAGTGGTCATTTCTTTTTCAATGTCAAGCAGTCTAAAAAAAAATAGAAAAAAAAAAAAAGAATTAGCAATACAGTTTTTAGTTTCTCACATATTTCTAATGTGGTGTGTCTTCAAATTTAGAGTCAAGTCAGCTGGCGAGTCAGTTTGTTTTGCTACCAGAAGCAATTTCCTGGTCCTGAGGCTATTGTTAGCAGGTGCTGGTTTGCTTGATACTCCTGTGGCACCGGGCTAGGAGCTGGCAGGTACCAGGAAATCTTGCATCCTGCAACAGCCCTACAGTGTGAAAGGGCCAGATGAGAAGCCCCACAGGTCTGTGTGTTTGGCAGCAGCACAGGTAAGAAAGGTGTTTTAGGCAGCACCTGTCAAGCAAATTTTCATTAGATGTTGAATTACCTTATTTTGTACCATTATACCAATGAATAACACTCAAATTTAAGCAGTGTTCTACAGGGAGAAATGAGGGCGGTTGAAGCGTATTCAGATATTACTTTCCTGCTTACCTCAAGTGATCATCTCTTTTAGCAGAAATAGTTCTATCAAATTACTCCTAATATCTGTAAAGTGCACTGAATTGCTGGTATTACACTTAGACTACTTTGAAACAAACATTTTGGTTACTTACTGGATATTCTTTTAGATATTTTTTAAACATTCTGCAGAGAGCAAGTTTATTCTGTAGGCCCAGAATTTAGTACTCTCCCATTTTAAGCCAGAAGGGAAAGTATGTACCTGACTTGATTTCCAGCAAAATACAGTCATGAAAATAACTCAGGTGTTTAACATAAATACTTAGCACCATTTTAAATGTTTTTATGTATCCTGCCTGATAGCTAGTTGGTGCTTCAGAGGAGCAGAGGTCTGTAGCAAATTCTGTATTCTATTTGCCAGTCCCTTCTCAGGGTTTGGCTTGGACAGCTTGGATCAAATAATTTGGCTCCAGCCACCTACATTTTGGAATGCAGATCACTTCCCATTTCAGAGATCATTAAAGAAGTAAGTTTTAATTCTAATTACACACCTAATCTACTATTACTCAATGACTAGAGAACTTTTGGAACAATGTACTGAAAACCAAGTCCTAAGAACAGTTAACAGGTTCAGATTTGTCGACAGGTATGTATACATGAATGATTCATCTGGACTGTCTTTATTATAATAAAAAGAAAGAAAAAGGCAGTCTTAAAGGACAGTTCATCAGACCTGTCTTAGACATCTCCCATAAGCCAAGACGAATTGCATTCTAGAAGTGCACATTTCAATGACTAAAGTTTAGTTGACTTGCTCAGATGCCAGCTGGCACCTATAAGGTAGACACCTTAGTGCTAACCAAAATGTCCAGAAGTCATTGTTACCTATTGGGTCATCAAAGAAAACATATCAGTGATTTCAGAGGCACGCAGACATACATTATCATCACTATCACTATCAAAGAATATCCTTGCTGACATCTATAGCTGAAAGATCAAGACCCAAGCTGGACTTCTCTCCCTTCAGCTCCGAAGCAAGGCTCTGTAGCAAGAACCATCCCTCCTTTACCCATGTAAACTTCAAAGGCTGAGCCAGGTCATTTGTAAGAATACATTCTAAACAAACCACAGTAACACAGTAGAAGAAACAAGCATTTCTTACTCACTTCATACTTACCCACATCTTATTGTGGTGTTCCTTTCATTCTGATGAACAGTACCATTAATCCACACTATGGTGTTATTTACACATGTTTTATTTGGATTTTTAAGCTCTTGCATTTCAACGTCATATTCAATGAACGTGTCTGCCATTGCACCAAACACCAGCAACATGCCTGGCTGGGCTGCTCCATGAAGAACAGCACAGAAGCTACCAACAACCATCATTAAAATTTCCAGAGGTGAAGAAAATCGAAACTAAAGAGACAGGAAAAAAAATATGGTCTCATGCTGCTTGTATGCTGATAAATCATTAATCAGGTGGATCAGATACAAAACCTTTCTTCTTAAGAGTCATCATTTCTTCAATATAGAGAGAAGAGAAATATCTCTCTCCACTCTAATAGAATTGTACCTATAATTACCGTCTCATAAATTATGATGAACTCCCTTTAAGTATTCAACAGCAGAATCTGATCATGTGAAGGAATGTATAGAATCATAGAGTATTATCATATAATATTAATAAGGCAATATCACTCCACATTATCATCATTCCAGACTATCTTAAGAACAGTAATTACAATCCACATATGTAGTCACCTCTGCAGTTTTCCCGTGAGAAAGGAGAGAGGGAGGAGGAAGGAATGAAAAAGCCTCAGGACATTTTGCAGAGACTCTGAACAGAACTATCCAATTTCTCAAAACTGGGTGCTGTGGTAGAAATTCACTTCAAAATTTCAGAACAAATTCTCATAGTTAATAGCCTAAATTGCATTGGTTGAACTGGGTAATTGTGCACTGACTCATAATCTAGGAGAAATATATAGAAACACGACTTAGCATGCAGTAAAAAAAGGGACTGAGCTAATCACTACTGCTTACACGGGCCAAATGTATGCACACACACAGCTGGTTACTCAGCTAAGTTACAGTGACCTAAATTACTTTGGTCATGATCGTGTGAAGTCTGATTCTCGGGTTAAAATCAGGCATAAACACATAGACTAAATTGTACTTACAGAATATTAATATCAAATGCTATTGGCCAGCTAAAGAACCAGTCTAGGTTCTGTAGGTGTTATAATGTGTTTGAGAGAAGAAGGGGCAGGAATTTGGAATACATATCAAAAAGGTTATTGGGACAGAAACACGATAAAAGGAAAAACAAGTCAACATACAAGAGAAATTAACAAATGGTCTTTCTTAAAAAAAAAAAAAGGAAGTACACTACACTATCACTGTTTTGCAAACCAGAAAGCTAGTTCCTAGAGATGGAAAGACTTGTGATTCATCCTGCAACAGCCATAAGGCAGAAAGGAACGCCACAGTTCTCCCCCTGGGGACCTGGGGAACATCCACAATGGCAAGCACGAACAGACTGTTCTCTCAAGCTAAGATCTGAGATACCTAGTCAGGTAAAGTACAAGCAGGATGTCACTGCTTGTGTCCAATATCATTCAGGATCATTTTAGTTTGGACACATTACAGGCCACTTGCATAAACAACATGTGATAAAAAATACTAAAAATCTCTTTGCTGCATGCTGTTGGGTTGGGTGTTTCTCTACTATGTTCATTTCAAAATTGTGACACACTCTATGGCTCTCCAGGACAGATCAAATATACGACCTATGGCTACATATAACACACAGCATTGTGCATTTCCAAGTTTTCTATAGCAACCTGCAGGTTCTATATAACATGTTTAACAGATAATTATTACACAGATACTGGTAATTAATACTCAGCTAACGAAGAAATAGTTATATTAAATTCCTACTGAATAGTAGAATTTCATGCCAAGTGGTTTAATTTCTTACAAGTTTGACTTATTCACAGCT